AATTTTTTACAACTATCTGCTCTTTATCAACGATCTTTAAATTATTACAAAAAAGAAAAAAAACTGCATAAAATGATCAAAAAAACAAACAATCTATTAATCTAAGTAGGATTAGAAATGAATAAAGACAAATCAGCGACAACTTAATATTTTGCGAACAATACACTTAAAAATAGAATCTTGCAAGGGATGTAAGTATCTTATGATGATAAAACACGTTAGAAAATAACAAAAAATAGAAACTATAGACATTATCCTCGAAAATATTAAGAAAAAATATAAAATTTATGTAGTGTAAAAATTAACGCAAAAAATCTCCTTTAAGTGCTAAATATATATCATTATCTATAAAAAACACATTGTAAAAGTTATAGACGCCAACCCGACAAATTTAAATATGTAACAAAATCATTTGTTTAACGCCAATAATATATCGCATAAAACAATAATCTGCCGGCAAAGCGAAAAACTTTACTTGCACAAATGAATTATGTAGGTTAACAAACAATATCGAAATTTTTAGTGAAAGAATTCTTTTACAGTTCAAAAATAATATCTCAGTACATAGTTATTTTTTAAACAAAGACGGGCAATAATAATCACAATGAATAAAACATAACACATTTTTCTAAGAATCAGAATTTTCTTGAGGAAAAATAAAACACGTAAACTATTTATATAAATATGTTAGCGAAATTTTTTTAAAAAGACTACCTTTAGTGAAATACATAAATAGTACAATCATTCAAAATTGCATAGACTCTCAGAAGACCCAGTGTTATGTATTAAATTATTAATTTGGCTGAAAAAGGGTAATATCACGGCTAGAGAGGAAGTAGTACTTTGTGCACTACAAAATAGAGACGTGTTTTTGATAAGACAATAAATGTTCTCACTGGTATGAAATATAAACATAACTCACATGGCGGCAGAATGTTTGTTTATGATTATATAGAAGACACAACAGGACATTTAGAAGTTTTCATCTTTAATTATGTAAGAACTATTAAACAACCTCAAATATTATAATTAGATTTTTTTTGGCTTTAGGACTACAATATTGGCAAATAGGAATATTAAAATAATATAGTAATTATAAAGTTTATAGTTACAACATTTGATTCCTTTACTTTATAAAAATTATAAAATACGTTGAAATAAATGTACATTGTTTTTTTGGAACTTTTTTGATATCGACAAAAATTTATTTTTTGGGTGGCAAAAAAAGGAATATTTTTTTTTGATATCGACAAAAAATTTTATTGAAGACTACAAAAAACTTAATTTTTATTTTTTATGATACAAAAGTTATCTTCAAGTGAAAAATTTGAAATTAAGGCTTACTTCGAAATGGGCACAAAATAAAAAGAAATTGCAAAAAAAGTTCTCGATGAGTCAATCAACTGTGTCTAAACCCACAAAAAAATTAATGAAACAGGACAAATTAAAAGAAAAGGGGATTTGACAGACATTCTTTGCTTTATAAAAATGATTTATTTTATTTGAAAAAAATAATAAATACAGATCCAAAAATTGGCAGTATTAAGTTTCTGTGAAACTTAAAAAACAATTAAAAAAGGTATATGTGCTCGATGTATACAAAAGCAGTTTTGTAAAACGGTACTACATGGCAGGATTGCATTTTGTTGGAAAGCATTCTGCTTCTTGACTACATTGTAACGAAGACCAAACATTGTAACAACAATCTATTTGTTATCGTGAATTGATCTGAAACTGTGCTTCAGAAAAAAACATATAAACGTAACTTTAATCAATTAACATTTAATTTAAATGACAACACATTTAAAAACCCACTTTTGTCTAAAAAGCATATTTTTAAAAGAAAATAATTGATAAGCAAGCATGCTATTCTGATCAAAAATGGAATAAATATTTTCTAGTGATCAAAAAAAATAAACTTATTTAACTTTGATAAAAGTGTTTATGTGCGAAAAAAAGTTGCCTAAAGATATAATAAAAAACTTTAAACTCACAATAAGACATCTAGGTGGTAGTATCATTATTTGATCATGTTTTTTGAGTGCTAAGCATCGAAAAATATGTATAGCTGATGGTATAATGAATAACAAGCATACTGTAGAATTTTAGACACATATCTTGAGGCTTTTGAAAAAAAAGCTAAAATTAAAAAGTTATATTTGTAGCAAGATAATAATCTGAAATGTACAAGTAAATGTATTACAAATTATTTGACAGATAAAAAAATTATAACTTTAGAATGCCTTGCACAATCTCCAGACATGAATCTTGTATGAAAATTTAGGGTATATTTTTAAGGTAAAAGTAGGAAAAAGAAAACCAAAAAAAATAAATGAATTAAAGAAATGTGTTAAAGAGGAGTGGAATTAAATAAATGTTAAAATGTGTAAGAATCTGGCATAGAGCATGAACAGTAGAAGTAATAAATTATTAAGAGCGAAAGGTGGATATACTAATTTTTAAAAAAAATATTTATTTTTTTTGCCAACTTTTTTTCTATTAAACTAATAAAAGCATTGTGTTTGCGTGATAAATAAAATTAATTACTAAAGCAGTTTTAAATTTTTGTACGTTTTTTTAAATTGGAAACAATTTGTCACACTATAAAATTTGTTATTGCAAAATTTAATATATCCCTTTTTTTGTTACTGCTGTTTATCGCTACTGAAAATATAAAAACCAAAATGGATACAAGAATACATATAGGAACTAGAAAAAAGGAGGTAATAATTGTAGAAGTAAGAATAACAGCTTTTGAAAATTTAAGGACGTTAGAAGAGGAGAAGAAACATAAATATGCTTTACTTGCTAATCAAAATAAATCTCATCGTGAAAATAAAAACAAAATTATAGATTATGTGATGACTTTGAGATGAAATGTAAGCCAATTTTAACAAGAAATATAAAAAAACCGAAACTTGACGATAGAATCGAGACTCTGTTTTAAACTAAAGTATTTAGACAGGCGGTAAAAAGCCTGTTTAAAGACATTAAAAAGTACCACAGAAGAAAACGACTACGTTGAAACGGCTTTGGAGCAGTAAACTTAAAGCATTAAGACAAAGTATTATTTAAAGTCATTTGTGCTAGTGAAAAAGTAAAACGATACTTTTTACATATTTAATTAAATCTATAAAAAGTATAATTTTTTAACAATTCACATATATTGTATAGAAATTATAAGTCTTATTTAGTATTTATAAAATTTTACTGCTTCGATAATCAAAATTTGTATTTATCATAAAATATGTATTTTTAAGACATTTCAGAATTGTATCTTAACTATTTGACAATAATTAAATTCTTTTGCGATATTTCAGATTTGTTTTTTCATTTTTTGACTATAAAATATATTGTAATGCACCTAAATTTTGGTTTATAAAGAAATATTTTTTAATAGACTTTTTATCAAATAGCTTTGAATTTATTTATTTTTTATTATGTTTTTATAGTATTACAGCCACTATAAATATTTAAAGTGCAATAGTTAATTAAAAAAATTTCTATCCTTCTGTAATTACAATAAGGAATAATAAATATTTATAATAAAGAAATGACATGTGTTAAAAAATACCACAGTTTTTTTTACATTTATTTATTATTTTTAGCTTCTTAATTTTCAAAAATTTTAATATATATTTTTTGTAATAATTGATTTTTTTTATTATGGTTATGGTCTAATTTTTAGTTTAGGAAGCCCCCCTTTTATATAAATAGATAAATAAAATTTTTTAAACCTAAATTTTACAATTCAATAGAAAGATCAAAGTAACAATTTTATTAAAGTTTTAAAATAACAATTTTTATGGTTTCTACGCAATATAAAACGTGATAAATATGGCAATATCATGACATTGGATTTACATCAAGATGGTACTTGCTGTTTAATTGCTGCCCAATTCCCTTCTATAATATTGATAATTATTAAGTTTGTTAAATTCGTACAGAAAAGATCGTGATTTATTGTAACGTACTTTTTCATATAGGTTTTAACTTTACTATGCCCCTTCCAGCAATCTGAATAGACAACAAATTCTTTTTTTATAAATTTTTCCAGTGATAAAAAGGATCTATTAGGAACAGGAAATTAAATAGTTATACGATAAGTGTTTATTTTAACCATTACAGAAACCAAAACACCACCGAATACATGTCCTCTGTGATATTTATGTTTCCTAAATTTACTTTATTAAGTTCTATAATTATATCTAATCTACCTAAATAATTATCTTTTTTCTGTAAGTATTTAAGATGCAGCTTTTATTTCGATATACTATTTCTAAGATATTTGTTATCAAGAAAAACCTTACACGTAAACTTTAGAAATATGTAATGGATTAAGCTTTTCTTTCTATAAATTAACAACTTTTAGATTAAAAAATAATCAATCTTTCGTCTTTTAAAAGTGGTATTACTAAACAAACTTCTTTCAGCACCATATTTTTTATCTTTGCAACAAGCTTTATTTTGTTTACATAAAACGCAATTTAACATCTTTCCCACACTGTTAAAAGTTCTTCAAAAAAAAGTTTTTTTATAACTTCGTAAATTTTTTTAGATTTTCTTCAATCCGCATTTAGAGTTTGGGGCTAACAAATTTAATATAATTTATTTTTATAAAATAGAGGGCCTCAACTTAAAAAGTCTTATGGTTAAGTATTACAAATATCTAAAAAATTTTTGGTAAAATTTAATTGAATTAACCATACTGAAAATATATTTCTAATGTATTGTTGGTTATTCGTTTATTGAGTTTATTGCCCACACGCCAGTTAGTCTTTTGGCCGTGGTGTTGCTTCTTGAAATGGTTAATTGTTTGGTTATTTAATTCTTTCATTCTCATCAAAATATAGTTTCTTAAATATTTTTTAGTTAGGACATTGTTTGAGTTTTAACCAATAACTGTAATTTAGTATCAGCATGAGACATGGGGGATACTACATAAATACAACGACCTTATAGATTTAATATAAATAAGAGGAATGGAACCATTTGTTTTTAATAGAAACAATTTTTTAATTTTTATTGATTTTTACCATAAATAATAAATTTACCCCATAAAATGTTTTTTTACGTTATATTGAATTATGCATCAATCATAACAAATTCTGATATCAAAGATTTAAACATTACAGAAGAACAATATTCTCACAACAGTAACAATTTGCCCACATTTACGTCGGAGAGAAACTATTTTGTTTCATTATCACAACAAAGTTCTAACGTTAAATATAAAGTCTGCACGGAAGAGGCTTTAAGCAGGAATACAAAAATGAAATTTTTAGATATCGAAAATTTGTCTAAACAAGACGATCAACTGAATCAAGAAAATTTTGATTCGTTTTTAATTTTAAGTAAAGATTTTGATACTTCTTGTTGTTTTAAAGACAGTATAGGACCCTGTGACACCAATAAATTGAATAATATTTCTGAAAATTCAATATCAATAAGTAGTGTATGTAAAGATGCAAATAAGACTCGTTGTGATAATTTAAACAATATTGATTTTTCTACCGATTATTTTAATAATATATTATTAAATGATACTGATGTATTTTTTAACCAAGGATCGATAGTTGAAAGTAGCGATTCTGATGAACCCTTTTTTGATAATGTCAAAAATTTATCTGATGATGATAGAGGTGACACTTTGATAGAACAACATTCTTATATTTATGGTGATAATGACATTGATTTTCAAAATGATGAAAAGTTGAATCTTGAAAGTTTATTTCCTATAAGTGATAGTATAAACAATTACATAAATTCTGATTTGGATAGACGTGATCATAATCAAAATCCTCAATGTTCAACGGATTACTATTTTCAATACAATGATAAAATGAATAAAGAAAACATAGAAGCTGACAATGCAAGCCTTGATACGGAGATTATTAATTTTCCTGATGATTGTTGTTTAAATAAAAAAGTAAAAATTTTAGACAAAAACGTAAAAAAGAAAAGTAATAACTTTGCTAGTAGTTTAAATTCAGATAATTCATTTTCTAATTTTGAGGAGAATATAACTGATGTAAAAGACCAAAAAGGCGATGATATTGTTTTTGCTTCTGAATCAAATAATGACGATTTTTTTGCTGTAAATTCACTGCAAAACAATTTACACATAATTTTAGTTAAAAATCAACAGAAATTTTGTGTAATCCGCGAAAATTTTTTTTCGAATGTATATAAACATGTTAAAACGGATTTTATATCTTTTAATTTTGTTAAAAATCATAAATATTGTACTATGCGACGCAATATTAGAGAACACTTTGCAAAATTGTCAAAATGCCTTTTTAAAGATTTTGATAGCAGAATTACGGCCTCCGTAACTTTAAATCTTCCAAATAATATTAAACATTTAATAATAGAAAATATTGAGTTTTATAAATGTATTGTTAAATTTGTTATTGATTTAAAGAGTTATATAAAAATGTCTAAATATGGTTTCTGTGGTACAGTATATAACTTAAAATTGACGAAGTACATTGTTGAAGATATTATAGCTTTATTTGATACAACAATAAAGAATATTTATGAAGTGTGTATGGATAATAAATTTTTTGGAAGTGAGTTGGCCCATGATATAAAGAAAGTTATTATAATTCTTAAATCGGAGATTATTTTATTAAATAATCGACTCGAATATATTTATATTCATATAAAAAAATTTGCGGGATTTTTGGATGCTATAAAGCAATAAATTATTTTAAACAATAATATTGTACGTAATTTTAATCTTATTTAATTTTGTTAAGGGATGCTTAAAATAATTTTAAAATTTAGTCATTATCATGCTTATAAACAGATAAAAACGGGCTTAACTAAAAAATATTCTTAAGCATTCTATTATCGTTTATTTTAACCATCTAAAATAATTTTATAATATTAAATCATTTCATTTTAAAAGATTCTACATGTAGAAGAAAAACAACATAAATTTTCTTATAAAATTTAAAATGTGTAACAATTAAAAGAATTAATATATGAAAAATAATAAGATTAATATTATAATTAAATACCTGTTATAGGAAAATCAAAGCAACATATTTTTTTTATTTTTTAAATTTCGATTTAAAATAATTAATTACATATAATTACACATCTTTATTAGAATATTAAAATATGTATGGTTTTTTGGTATCAGAATAAAAAATTTTTTTTTGCCCAGCTAGCAAACAGATTAACGTTGACAAAAAAACAATATTTTTATTTTTTATTTTTTTCTAGATGTAAAAATTTAATCATTTTTTTTTTGATTAAATATAAATATAAAAAATATTATTAAAAAGTTATTATTTTTTTCTCAAGATAAAAAATAGTAGTAAATAATACAAAAGTTTTTTTTTATTTTATAAACTAAAGTCACATAAAATTGTTGGGCTAAAGTTGAAAGAGAATATTGTATGTTATAAGATAATATAGAAAGGGTGTTTTTTTTACATAAAATCTATAATTTTATCTATATTATGTGTTATAGAAAAAACAAATAAATACATTTTTAGTACCGTTTTGGGGGTTAAATAATTATGCTAATTTATAGTTAAATGGTTTTAATATGTTTTATGTAAAATATTAAACACTATATTTATCTACATTAGATAATTTGTAAAAATTAAGTAATCTATATTTTTATAAAATTTTGCTTCTATGTTAATTTTATTGTAAAAAATAAATGTAATGCTTTTTAATGCACAAGACCCAAAGTTCATTTAGCAAACCAGTTTAAATTTATCGATAATTAATGCTATTTAAATGAATTAACAATAAATTATACCTAATGCAAATAAGCAGGAGCCTATTTACTGCTTTATAATCTTTAAAATACTTTCTTGTAATTATACTACATAATGAAAATATAAATGTAAGATTAAAACTACCCACAATTGCACGATTTTTGATATACCCCTTAAAAGTAGTTATTATTCTCTATTTTTCAACTTACAAACATAAAAAAAATGATCAAGCAATAAAATTTATTCATATTTAAACGTTGTAGTTAAATAAATGAGATCTTCCAGCATAGTAAGAGAGTTATTTCTAGATAACATAAACTTGAGAAATAAAGATTAATTAAAAAAGAAGGATGATTTCTAAAGCCAAAATATTCTTTTTTATACTTGACCAGTTGCCTTCTATTGTATTATAATGTACACCTATCTGCTAATTTTAAACTAAACGGAGTGATTAACAGTTTTGTGTTTAAAAATATAATCACCAATGCTGCAATAGGCTTTCCAACAATATGAGTATAAATTGCTATGTATTTTTACTCTCTTCTTAAGTATTGATAACAGTGTTTTTTTATCTCTTTTCTCAACCTTTTTGACTACTATTCTTCTATTGTGTCTATCTACAACACCTAACACCCAGACACTCACAACACTATGTCCCCTGTTGTATTTTGTCTTCTTAAATTTAGACTAATCAATTTCTACAACATGTCCATTGTCCCCTATGCATAGAGTTTCTAGATACCTTTTAAAAAAAGGCTTTTCATATAATTTTTTTGCAATAAGAAAAATTGCCGTTTAGATAAGCCTGTTTGTTAAAATATAACTGATATATAAGAAAAATTTTATAAAAAAATACCACAGATTATCAACTTTACAATAGGGATGTTTCTATTTTTCAAAATAGTAAGCTTAAATATAGAATGTCTATATTTGCGGTACTTTTCAGTACATCAAACCATAATATCTAAACATAACAGTATTGGTGCCTTACATCTGAAACCCTTCTTGCTAATTTCAGAATTTAAATTAAATTCAACTTTATTTATCTTCATCATCATTTTAAAGGGTATTTTAAAAAAATTTTAACAATTTTATGCTTGTTTATTTTTTTTGTGTTTGTAATAAAAAAATGAGGGATAGACTTATTGTTTTAGATATGACAAAAATCGTGCAATCATAAAAAATTTTCTCCTTTATTTTTATAAACTTTTTGTAAACTCGATTGTGAGATCTTTTAAAAGAAAAGAAAGAAAAGTTCAATATCCTTTTCATACTAAAAGTTAATGACTATACTTTAAAAAAATTTTATTTAGAAAATCTGAAGCTTTTTAATGCTTCATATTAATTTAATTAAAATGTTTTAATAAATAAAAATTTTAAAAATTATTTTTGTAAAAAGTAATCATAAGGGCTATTATTAAATATAAAAGTAGCAAATTTCTATTTGTTTGTTTCGTTTAAATCAAAATTTTTATATTGATAAAATTTCCGTTTTCTTCTCGCATAGTTTTTTTATAAAAAAAATTATATGTCTAATTTTACTTTCGATAATCTTATTCAAAAACAATTTTTAGTCTTGTAATATTTACAGATTCTTGTGATAAAAATTAAAGTATTAAAACACAAGTTTCTTTTTTTGAACTAGTATAAGTTTTTGTTAAATTTTTTAGGCAATTAGTAAAAAGGTAGTTTTTAAATAAAAATTTATATTGCACCGTTCACAGTTCTACAGAGTTTAAAAAAAGAAATCAAGCAAAAAAATTAAAAAGTTTTTTAGAAAATAAACTTATATTTTTAACTTGTAAATTTTGTTTAACATTAAAATTTATAAATAAGTTTTTTTAAAAAATTTTAACTTTGTGCTCTTTAGGCAACTCAGTCGTTAAATATCTTTATTAGATTTATTTATTAAAATTCTAAATATAAATTGCTAAATCATACATAATGCATACAATCTCTTGCAAGACAAAGAAATTTATAACAAAGAGTCTTGTAGGAAAAAAGTCATTTATTCAAATTATTAAATTTTATGATACATGTTACTCTAGTAGATCTAATACAACAAGTACTTTTTCGTTTAGAGTAATTTTGTAAAAACGGCTGTCATTTCTAATTACAACACAACTTGCTATCAAGCAGTAACTGCGACACTTTAAAGGAATAAAGTGTCATTTTTTAAGTCCTTTTCTCGATTTTGTTGCTAACCAACTTGTTTTATTTGTTAAGCCCATTATGCTGAAAAAAAATCTGATGTTTAGCTTTATTTTATGGCAGCTTAAAACCTTTAACAAAATATTAAATAACAAAAATTACTGTATAATATATGTTTTTTGAATTTTCACTGCTTCTGTAAGTCTAAACATGTTATATTGCTCATATTAAAATATTTGTAAATTTTAGATATTTAATTAAAAAGAGTTTTTATTATTTTTTTTAACAAATTTTAAGTTTTTTGTAAGCTAAATAAATAAAAAAATAGATACACTTTCAAATGCCACATTTTATGTTCTTGAAATAATAAAAAGATATACAGATTACTATATCTATACTATATAGAACTTATGAGAGGATGTAGTTAATTTTAATAAAATATAACATAGTTGTTGCAATGATGTATCAATAGTTTATACTTAATTTTACAAATAGTTGTAGTAAGTGTGGTTTGTTTAATGTAATGTTATATGAATTATTATAATAGTACTTCTTAATACGATATTACTATAACTTGTAGAATATTATAGTTGCTAACCATGCTTAGGCCTTCTTATTATTGTTAAAAAGCAGATTAAATATTACTTTTTTATGGTATTTATCTTTATCTCTGGCATTTGTAATAATGGAGAGACTTTATTTTGTGTTTTTTATTGACATAATTAGAGCTTTTGAATTATTTGTAGTACAATAAATAGTTATTACTATTTATAAATTTTTACAATCAGTTCATGCTAAGATATTTATATTTTACCCCAATAATTTTTAACGAAGCCAACTTTCAAATTACGTTTATTTATATAAATTTGTAAAGAATTACAATTATTGTAGCAACCTATTAAATAAGCTACACTATTATTGTAATATTTTCTGTTGAATTATTTTCTTTTGTAAATTTGTGGTACTCTAGTTAATAATAATAAATCACTTTGTTTGAAAAGTAAAATATAATTCATTAATCTTAAAACAGTAGTGTAAAAGTTTGTATTATTTTTATATTTAAGTTTTTTTAGCAATAAACTTTTTAATTAGATTGAGCAGCTTAAATTCATAAAAAATACTTGAAAAAAAGGTATTTCATAAATTAAATAAACAAAAAAACTCTGTTAAAATTATTGTTATTTATGTCAATTTACATTTTAATTGTTTGAAAGTTAATATTGATTAGGTTACTGACCCACAGTCATTATAGGTTATTGTTTGTATATGGCAAGATTTTTAATTTATTAATGTAAAAACAAATCATTTTTTTATTTGTTGATAAAAAAATATTGAGCATAGTAACATTTACTAGATAATAATAGCAGGATACTTTTTAATTTAATAAATTTATTAAAAATTTGATGGTTGAATTTTTACACTTGTTATAAATATGAATAAACATTATATATGAAAAAATTATGATTATTTGCATTTACTTTAAGGGATAATAATTGTTATTACTACTTAAGAGAAAAAAAATTTGACCCATAATTATGTTTTTTTGTATTTTATTAATTGGTGCAACAAATGTTTCTGATTCTCATATAAATTACTTCAATAATCAATTTCATAGTAATTTATACAATTTTGTAAATACCGAAGAGTTTAAAAAACAAAATACAGTTCATAAAAACTCATTATGCAATGAGAAAATACAGAGAGAAAGTTACTTAGAAGATGTACGTAATCAAAAAATTAACAAGTTCTGTATAAATAGTGACCCTACATATAAACAATATTACCAACATACACATGAAACAAATAGAATGTTTTTAATTCCAAATAAAGATGATAAAGAGCTTTTTCAAAATACGGAAAGCACAGATTTTTTTGATCGGGATGACTTAATGGACGCTAGTACAAATACAGTATTTAAAAACGTTTTTACTAATACCACTCAGCACTTGAATGATATTTTAAGTGCTACAGATTTTTTACATACCAAAATAACAGAAAGAAATTCGTCAATGATAAATAATGAGTATTTTTCTGCACAAGTTAAAACATGTCTAAATACTAATTTTCCTAAGCAAATTGAAAGTATAACGGATGTTCAAGAAAATAAATTTTTGATTGAACATCAAATATTTGATTATACTGATAATTACACAAAGCCCAATAATCAAAATATTGAAGATATAGTTATTGAAACTGATTTGTATAAAGAGATTGACAGATACATTCATTGGGAGCCTAGTGAGTATGATGATAAAAAAAAATTGTATCAAAAGGTTGATTTTGAACATGGTAATAACAATTTAGTTGATTCTAGTTTTATACATTGTGCTATCAATAAAAATGCAAATGTTTCTACCAAAGAGGTTGGCGAATATTCTAATATTAACTTTAAAAAGTCTTTACATCATTGCGATTTAATTGCAAATTATACAAAAGAACAAAAAATAAAAAATACTTGTTTTGTTTTAGATTGTAAAACCACAAAAATATTTTCATCTGATAATTCATATATTGTGTTTGCAAGTACTATTAATATTTATAAAAAAGATTTACGAGCATTTAAGGATAAATTTTTTGAAAATGTAAGAAAACAATCAAACGGGAAACATATTCAATGCAACTTGACTAAAAATTCAAAATATGTCTTTATTCGTCAGAGAATAACAACAAATTCTAAATGGTTTTTTACTTTTAGAAATTCGACTGTTAAATTTCTTATAGATAATGTTAAAATGCTCCATTTATCAGCAAATACTAAAACATTAATTTTTGACTATTTTGAATTTCTTAGAAAATTTGCACAGTTTATTGCCAACTTTAAAAACTATATTCATTTGCAAAAATACAACTATTGTGATATAATTAGTAATATAACATTTATTGAAGCTATCAAGAGCAAAATGATTGTAAAATATAACTTTGAAAAGATAAAAATTTTGCTGCAGCAAATCGTTGAAAAAGATATAAATCCTAAATTTTTTAACTCAAAAGTCGAAAAAAAATTAATGCATATTTTATGCAACATTCAATCGTTTGGAGAAAAATTTAAAATTCATTGTGAAAATATTACGGAATTGAAAGAGTTTTTTGATTTAAATAAATTTTAGTTTATAAATATTTGTTTTTTCAATTTTGCAGAATAGTTGTTACCACTTTTTTTCATTGTTTAAAATAATCCAAATTGTATTAATATATACTAAAAATATTGTTTAGAAACTTAAATCAGCATTTCAGGCTTTTTATATGTCTTTATAGCTAGTTTAAAATTAAAAAAGATAATATATCAAATAATTTTGATTGCCATGATTTTAATTAAAGGGAAGCTTGTATATTAACATATTTTAAAAAACTATAACTATTAGAATATGCATATAATAACAAAAGATATTGTTTCAGTAAAAGATTGTTTTTATTTTTAATCAAGATTTGTCCCTTTAAACATTACAAACTAAACTGTTGAGATTAAAAAAAATAAAAAGATAAATTTAAGATTAATTAGTGTAAATTGCAATTGGTTTTTAACTATTATAAATGCATGTTTGCTCAAAGAAATTGGAAATAAAAAAAATATGTTTTATCGTTAAAAGTATCTTAAAGCTAAATCTTTAAATTTTCCTAAGTAATTATATGAAAAGTTATTAAGTTTTCAATGTATTAAGCTAAAGAATTCAATATAATATTTATAAACATATTATAAGGTTAATCAAATTAAAAAATAAATAATTTGTTTATCAAAAGAATAATCTTGTATAATAAAGAGATCAAAAAAAATATATCTGTTTAAAATTTTAGCAGGGTGTTAAAACTTTAAGTGTTGTTTTATACACGAACAAATAAATAACCCTCTATTACTAAATATTTTATCATTCTAAGCTTTGCTTTACGAGGCATCTTTGCGCCATGCATATTGTTGTTGGTGTTCCTTTTGTTGCACTGAACCTTTTCTCGTTTTTTTCATTATTTTTAGATCCTACTTTTTAAGTTTTTTTATTTATAAAAAAGTTTATTAAAATTTTTAGAGAGAAATTTTTAAAATGTGGTGAATACCACAATGTGACAGACAGGTTTATAAGAAAGGAGCTAGACGATAATTATTTAAATCTTTTACAATTTTTTTTAAATTGTTTTTTATTTGTAACAAGCTGCTTCCTAATTTAAGTATTTTACTCCTTTCTAAGTTGTTAAGATAAAGCAGCCAACTATTTGTTTAGAAAAGTGAAGTATTACCAATTTTGTTACTAAGTTATTAGTCATTGACTTAAAAATATCCTTCTAGATTTTCTATCTATTCCTGTGTATAAATTATTTGATTATATTTTTTACCATAAAAGTAATTATTTGGCTGTTATTTTTTTCAAATTGCCAAATGTTTTTAATATCTTTATCAATTTTGAATAAAAAATATTATTAATAACTTAAAAATATAAAATAAACGTAATTTAAAAATTTTTCTCTGACTTTACAACAATAATACACGAATTTTGTAAAAAATTAATTAGAAAATTACAATTTGGATAATAAATCGAATAATCATAAACTAAATCAAATAAAAAATTATTTTCTACAAATTTATAGATTGTAAAAATAAGTGATATAAATTTATAAGTTTAAAAAAAAATAAAATAACAAATTAACTCGGTCGCTAAACTTTAACAAATAATTTATATAAGCAAACATAATAAAGAATTCATTAAATCATTCTTGAATTTTAAAAGTTATAGAAATTACTTTATAAACAATAAATGTTGCACATAAATATGTTTTAAAGCCGATAACATACATTTCTTTGTGTCGGCATTAATACATTTTTCGTAAACTTATTTTGTTGTTAGATTTTCTCGGCAAGCCTGTATAGTAGCATTGTAGTTTAGTGTGGTAGATATTAGGCGTCTCTTTCCGTATTCAAATACAATAAAGTATTCTTAAAATTATCATAAATTTTACGAATTTAATTACTAAGTATCGTTTTTTAACATCTTTTATAAAAGCATATACAACTTATTTGGGGTTAAACTTGTGAATATCTGCCAACTCTTGCAAATACGCTTCTTTTTGAAAATAGCTTTGTAAAATATCTTTATTTATTGACTATTAATTACAAATTTTGTTACGATAAGTTCTATCTCTTCTGCTATTGTTCATTTCTAAATGTTATAACCCTCCTTTATAATTTTATTTTAAATTTTCGATTATGGGAATTTAATTTTTCAATAAACCAATTTGTCTTTGTCATAGATCAAGAGGCTACGACAATATCGCCAACCTTAGAAAGTTTTCTAACTCTAATCAATTTTAAATTTCCAAAGAATTAAATGTATCAACAAAAATTACCATCTATATAAACTTGGTTCCTACTAAAATTAAAAAATTATTATCTCTCTAATTTATAAGCAATATCGAAAGATTGAACAGTAGTTTGTGCTCAGTTTAATTTAAATTTATACTTACATTATTATTCAAAATTACAAAATAAAAAAAAGGTTAAAATTTTTATATCTTATAGAATTTACAGTTTGCGTTAAACCACCTTCTAAACGTTATTCAACTTGCAAAAAACCAATTTTTCTCTGTTTATTAAGTTATTGATTAACTTTACTAAGATTTATATTTGTTTTATAGTTAGATTTATCTATTATTCTATTTTTATTTTAAATATTTAAACTCAATTTTTAAAGGTAGTCATACTTTTTAAATCTTAATTCTATTGCAGAGAATTAGAATTTTGTGATAATTTGATTGAATTACTATTGGTGTTAAAATACATAGAATTGATCTATTATATACTAGTATTTCTTAAATACATTGCGCTAAAATTTCTCACAAAAAAAAAGAAAGAAAATTATTCAACATTTGGAGGAGGTATTTTCTGTTGTTAAAAAATAGTGATGTAATTTTTTGACATAATGAAGGTTAATATTTATTGAATATATCACATTCCCCTATCAAGACGTTTAGTCTTTAAATTTAACTCTCTAAAGCAGCGTCTCCAAATTTCTCTTCTTAATGTATCTTCGTGTTCTCTAACTTTATCTATATGAATCAACTTCACATGGAGTCGTAATTTTCTTGTATCTAAGAACCTACCCTTAAATATTGTTGTGGTCTTTCATATAATTATTATTTAATTTATCATTTTAAAATTTTCACAAAAATTATATTAAAAAGAAGGGAAAATGAATTTTAAAAGAAACAAAAATTTTTATAAAAAAATAACATGAATAAAATAAACTTCAAAAAAACCAAAATTTACAACAAAAGCTTTATCCTAAAAACAGGCATGTCCCCTTAAAACACTTCAATTGTAAGCATAAAATTGTTAAATCTTCTAAATCCTTGCTTTGATGTGCTATTAATTAGCTTATAATATTTTTTATTTTATTGCGTTATTAACTGAAATTATAGCATTGATTAAACCATCAAAATTTTTACTGTCTATATTTTTATATGCATCGTTTAATTTTAAATAGCTTTAAATTTACTTTAGATATGCATTACACTTAATCTAAAATCATTAATAAGCTTTATTTAATCCTATAAGTTTAAAAAACCTTTGTCGGAGTCCAACATGGGTCTAATAATTATGAATTATTTAAATATAGACATATCTAACCCTTCTCCTAGATGTTATGAGTTTTTCCATATGTGTTCCTTTCATTCTTACATCTGTAATTCTAACAAATAAAATTGCATGCGGGCTTTCTAGATAAAAAAAATTTATTTACGTATTTTAAGAAATTTCTAATAAAAATATACGCATTAATTTTCAAGTTGTTCTTAATATAAACCTAAGCCACTAATAATTTTATTTTGTATAAGAATAATAATTTTTATTATAAAGTACAGCTATCTGGAGTAGTTTGGTAAGATGCGGCCTGTTTGGAGATAAAATTCCAAAACGCTTCTAACGCTGCCGACTTTTCCACTTACCGTGTTAAAAATGTGTTTTGTTTAATTTATTTTGCACTATTGGTGCTTTGTTGTGGGTATGGTTTCTTTATAAATCCCCTTTGTTGTCTTCCATATTTTTTGTGGAATCAAATTTATTTATATTTTTAAGTTTTAGAATACACCAATGAATATATTGAACATAAAAGATTATTTGTTACTTTTATTACAAGTTTCAATTTATAATCAAGCATTCTATGTGGTAGTTATACCACACTATCATGCAAAAAAAGAATATATTCACCAACAGATGAACTTGAAAGAGGACTCGTATGTCTAGAACATTGATCTGAAATAATGTTATTAAAATTAATAAAAATTTTGAGGCGACATAATATGCAAATAGTAAACAAACGGCTATTCTTAAAATACGGGGACAAGAAAAAACACACTTATGGCCAATTAAAAACTTTATAAAAAACAAGTATAATGTTGAGATAACTGACACGAATAAAGAGAAAATACTAGTAGCTCAGAAAGAATACCTTATACAACGATAATAACGAATCTTTGCATAAAAAGTTGTACAGTACTTCTTTTTTAATAAAACACATCGCTAAAAGGATCGCCGATATATTAAGACATGGAAACATACCAGCAAGAAGAGAAAGATCACTTTGCTACCTTTAAGAAAAAACTTCTTAGTGAAAGAAAAGAATAAATCTTTGCACTGTAATATAGTGGGAGGAAAGTGTCAATTATATAGCATCTAAATGCGAAAAAATGCTGAGTAATTAATACAAAAGGAGGCATAATGAGATGGTGAAGAGCATACATTTACGTGCAATAAGTACAGAATTTATCTAGGAAGAAATTTAGAAACCATTTGGTACAGGACCCAGCACCTAACGAATATGTAAAAATAAGAGTCACCACTTTTATTTTAAGTGGCAAATAACTCCCTCCTAGCTTGTCTCCAAAATTAGGGGTAATTTATTACAAAAAAATAAATAGAAAATCAACAAACACTATGATCAAAACAGATATATATAAAAAATAACATGCCCGATTTAGTAGCAATAGATAAGAAAAATATTTAATTATTGAAATAGGAATTATATTAATTGAAAAATTGTAAAGAGTCGATTCAGAAAAACTTAGAAATTATAATGTACTAGTCAATTAACTTACTTAAATACATGACTTTAAATCTATTCTAATACCATATGTGATAGTGTGGGAACTAACTATCGTGAAAGCACAAACAAAACGATAGATATTTCAACCAAGACAGAAACATACATTTAAAGAATAATACTAAAGAAAGCCTTAGAAAGTATTTTCTTTGACTATAGAAGGCAAAAGATATTGACCTGGTAGATGATAGTAAAGAGGGTTTGGCGTCTTCAAGCCCTGCTAAATCCCGATAGAACTTTAATTTCCTAAATAAAAAAGAAAACAGCTAATTCTTTATAATTAAGTTATTTTGTCTGATTAAGTAAAAAAAAGGAAAAACAGTTAAGAAAAACATTATTATTAAAATATAATTTTTACTAAAAAGCATTTTTCTTTGGAGCTTAATTTGTACAATGCTATGTCCAAAACCACCACTCTTCGACCCAAGTTCCTATTACTAATAAATAAAATTTATTTGTTATTGATTTATTACCCATTTCACAATCCTGTTATTATTTTTTTCATTGTAAAATATTTCAGTTAGAATTTTCTCTCCATCATTATAAATTTTTAAAACTTAATTTACTTTTATTGTAAAAATCAACTTTTTTGATCATAGTTGGTTTTGACATGTTAAATCCATACTATCATTTTTTAATTGAATATAAAATGATATTGTAATTGCAAATTTAGATAAATTTAAAAATGTTTAAGCCTTTAAATGTTATTTTGGTTGCAGATAATTTTTTGTTCAAGACAAAAATAAGGTAATAATTATGCATTGAATCTAAGAATAAATACATCAGATATTTCAAGAGCATTTGAAAATGAAGGATTATGTGAAAATAATGATATACAACAAAAGAGTCAAGAACTTGATAAAACAGATGATAAAAATTTAGATTTAAATCAACATGATTCTAATTTATTAAAAGATTTGACAGATTTCACAAGTAAATATTTTAATAGTAGATTTAAAAATGTTGATTATAATTTATATAATTTTTCGTCTTCAATAACTGCAGAGAACAATTTGGTGCCACATAGTTTTACAAGAAGTACAGTTACTAAACATGTACCTAGAAAACAATATTGTACTTTTAAACAAACGACAAATGATACAAAGCGTCTTAAAATTTCAAACAGTAATGAAAATGACACAGCTAAACATTCTCACATTAAGACGTCTTGGAATGATAATACTAATTTATTATTACATAAAAATCAAAATGATTTAATACAAGAGCAATATGCTAATTCGAAAAATAATGCATTTTTGAGTTTTTTAAAAACTATAAGTGCAATTTATATTAATATAAAGAAATGGAAGATGCAATATTTTTTATATTCGTTAAATCTAGCATATAATCGACTTAGCAAATATGTCGAAGTTTTTAAAAAACTTTTAATTTTCGAATCGATTTGTAAAAATTTACACGTGTTTTGTGATGGTTCTTTTGTAATCCTAATTGTTATTTTTATAAAGTTTATCGGTTACTATCTAGTATTGACAATAGATTCGATTCATTTTACAGCAGACTATTGGAATTGAGAGATAGAATTGAAAAAAAGATTAGTCAGTCTACAATGAAATTTCTAAAAGATTATTTATATTATTTTATAACGTGGTATGCTGAGTACAATTATTTGTGTTTAAATAATTTTTTTGTTTTGTAAGTAAATTAACTAAAAAATATTTTATATCTAAAAACATCTATAATGCATATAAGCTTAAATGGGTTTTCTGGAGCAAACTGCATACAATAAAAAAAGAAAGAAAAATGGGGGTTAAAAAATTAAAAGATTATTATTTGCTTAATTTGAAAAATAATTTAAGAATTTTGATGTAAATTTCAGAGAATACTTCAGGCGAGCTATTCATTATATATCTCCTTTTAAAAGTGTATTGGATGAGCCAGTTATCAATATTACAACACTTCACTTCACACTATGCTCTTTTCTCATAGTACTCTTCATATGAGCCAAAAGCCCTTTTATGTTGTTGGTGGGTTCTATCGATTGCACAAAACCCTCTGAAAGATTAACTACATTATGCTCACATCCAAGTATGTACGTAGTTGCTGGATATGAAGAATAGCCGCCTGTATTAACAGTGCTACCAGGCAAAATCAATCCTCTAATAGACGACATTAATGCAGAAATTGTCCGATTTGGAAATCGTAATAAAAAAAATTTTAGCTCAGGCTTTGTCTATTTCATTAAAAATCAATATTGTATCTTAAGTATCATCATCTAAACTTGTAGGATTTCAAATAATACCCCCTCTCGAAAAAACGTTTTCATAAACCTCGACAATTGCTCTATCTTCACCTAATAAAATAGGCCGCTTCAATAAAAACTGCCTAAATCAGTCAATTAAAAGACTTTTATATCTTTAAATGGTTGAATCTGCGATAAAATAAAAATGTGATAATTTATTATAGTTTATATCTAAAAGTAAAAATAAATTAAATGTCCAATTTTAGTCAATCGCACTGTAAACCTAAATAAAGAGCATTTTTTTGGCAATGCTTTTTTTACATCTATAGACTATTTTGTTATTGCCTCTATTCTAACTGGTTATGGTACATTCATTCCCGCAGCTATCACATAATATAAAAGCTGCTATTATGCCAAAATTTAGTAAAAATGTTTTAATTTCATACACATCTAAAAAAAAAACATTTGCACTAGAATAGCTTAATTTTTAATTTTAAACAACCCTTGCTTTTCTAGCGCAAACTGCCTACTTGCCAGTTTTTTCTAATATAGAGCTAATTTTCTGCTTGTATATTAAATTTTATAACCCCTATTTTTAAAGAAAAATTATGGTGGACAGTTTGCACTAGAAGACCCTAAATATGTATTAAGTGATACAAAATATTTTATATCTTTATCAGTCTTTACAACTAAAGTTTGTAAATTTACACTTTTACTTGGATCGCTGGCTTATAATTATTTTTATAATCTTAAGTTTTAAATGTTCTAACGCATATTATACGTGGTTGTAAATTAAAAAAATTACTGATAGTTTGATAATATAAAAAATCATGTTATTTATAATTGTTCTTTAATACATTATGTGTACAAGATTATCCATTACAGCAATAAACTAATATATTTTAGATTTTAAAAAACCAAAGCATTAACAGAAGTAGGTGTCACTAGCATAGATATCTCATACACCATGAAAAGTGAAAGGAAGAGAAAGTACGAACTGTTAGCAAATGAGCTTAGTTTGGTGCTTAAATACAAAACAGAACCAGAATTTATTATTTTGAGATAAGTTGGATTCATAACCACATTCCGCAAACAATACTCAAAGAAAATGATTCTTTACCAGTATTAAGTCTACATTCAAACTCATAAGAAAACGAAGCGAAGTATTTCTTTAGATTATCGAGGGAAAATTAAAGGCGGTAGCGGCATATAGCTGATGGAAAGTTAGTCAACGGAAGAGATGAGGGATCTTAATACTTTGTTATAAAAAAGAAAAAGCTCCATTAAATAAAAACAACGATGATAAACTAAAACCTAGTTACTATCAATCTTATAAATACAAATTAATATTTTATTAAAAAAGTTCAAATATACAGAATAAATGTTTTACAATAATTAGAAAAAAATGACTTCTTGTAATCTTTCAAAACATTTTATCATTTTAAATTTACATCTTTATTATAACTTATCTTTTTTTACTATATACTTTTTCTACAACTATTATAATTGCTAGATAAATGGTAATAATTAGTGATGATACAATCCAAAACTCTTTTTCAATTTTAAATTTTTCATTGTTTGGTATTACTTTAGATTCAACTTCATTTTTCTTTGGAAATATTATATCTTTAATGCTATTATACTGTATTTCATAGTGCTTCACATCTTCATATATTTGCATCAAAATATTATTCATTTCATTGGCATCTTTTATTGCATGTTCTTCGTGTTCCGGTAAAAAATCTGTTTCAAGATAATTGCGATTTTTTATCAACAAAATTTTAATCATATCTATTTTTTCTGTAATTAGATTATTAAGTCGACTACCTTCTTCATGTAACTTCATGATTTCATCAAAAGTTGTTAAATCCTCGTTAAATTCAACATATTTTTCAATTAAATATGTTGGTTTTCTTATATTCTCTTTCAAAGTCCTTAGATTGTAAATGCATCTTTTTAAGTTAGCATATGCTTGTTCTAACTCGCTGGTATCTTTGTAATGATAAAAGATTTGTACCGGACGAAACTGCTGTGGCTTCTGAAATAACCACCCAGAATTATTAACATAAAGTCTAACAACATCTTGTGGAAAATAAGAGAAGTTAGTTATTTTATAAAGAGCAGTATATTCTAAGTTTATTCTTGCATTATTAAGAAAATAATTACTTTTAACTACCTCTGACTTTATTTCATCTCGTATATAATAAGCATTGTACAATTCATCATTAACAGTAATCCCTATAATTTTATTAGATTTTAAAAATGTTATAGGAATAACAAGATACCCACTACAATCTTTTTCATTCCTATATATATGGATTGCAAAACCTTTTACTGCCGGTATTAATAGACAAAAAATATCAAATATTTTCATAAGGGATAAAAAATTAATAAATATCAAGGGATCAATAAACAATTAAATATTTTAATTAAAAACAAATTTTGACATATTAATTAAAACAAAAATATTCTTGTACATACTTTGAAAACTTTCATCAATAAACTACATGTTTGTTAAAAGTAAATCATGGTTGTAACAAATATCATTATTTACTTTTTTGTATTTTAAAAATGCTTAAATTGTTGTGAATTAATAAAAAGAAAAACTAAAATGATAAAAAATAGTTAATATACAAAATAACAGTAAATATTTGATCTTTTTTAATTTATAATAAAATATGACGATGTCGTTTTAGAAAAATCTAAGTCTTTGGATTTAACAAATACGTTATATTTTAACACTAAACAGATTGAACAAATATTTAAAGAAGATGAAAAAATTGGCTCTTTGGCAAGAAATAATAAATGGTACTAAATTGTAATTTGTTCAGTGAAACATTTTCAAAATGCTTTTAGACATGCCTATATTTAAATTTGTCTTATAAAACACTTTCAAACAAAATCTAATTTTTTAGCCCTAAATTTAGACAAAAGTCAAAAAAATTATTTCTCACGTACAAACCTAGAAATAATTGTGTTATAAGTATATCAATTAGTATTTAAAGGTTAGTACTTTTGTTGCAGTAAAGAACCGCAAATATTTATAGAGTGTTAAGTTTAAAATTAAAATCTTTGATTTGTATATTTTATTGCCATTTACATCAAAAACTTGTCAATTTGATTAAAAAAATATTGTAAGATAGAGATTTATATGTGAATACTTCTTAATAACAATGTTTTAGCAATTTTGTTATGCGGTTAAAAACACATTTTGTATGATATTTATAAATATTCTAACTAGATGATATACCTAAAAATTGACAGAATTTTAACTACCCAAAATTAAAATTTTTATTCGCTAATTTTAAAATTCTGCATAAAGAAGAAGGATGACAAATTTAATTAAATTACTAAAATTTTCATTTTAGTTATATATCCATACAAAAACAATCAAAATTTTATTCATTTTTTTTATTAATATTTATAGACTAGCGAACAAAGCAAAAATTCTGTTAGGACATTATCTTAATTATTTCTAAACAGCATAAACCTTAGCAAATAAACATTAATTAGATTTTTAGATCTATTCCTAGATGGTATATTTCTTTTAATTGCATTCCAGTTCCCTTATATTGTGTTCGTGTGAACATTTTCTTTTTCATTAACAAACTCTTTGAAATGATTTACAATCTAACAAGCAAAAAAAAATCATTTAACCCTTTATAACCTTTCCAACAATCAGAATTAATTATTGTATAAAGTTTAACTACACCTGTATAAATTTCTTGCAAAGTTTATTTTTTGCGGTTGTCAACTGGAATGCAAAAAAATAATTTTGTGTGCCTTTCAACACTGCCAAATACTCATACACTACCAATATAATGCCTTTTGTTGTATTTTCATTTTCCAAACTTGCTTTCATCTATTTTTATAATGTTTCCGTTTCCACCTAAAGACAAGGAATTAATATAATTTTCCAATATATCAACACTGTTAAATTTGTATATAATGTCAAAAATTCTAATTTCGTGAAAGTCCACTTTTATGATAAATTAATTTATAGGGTACAAAATTCATAAAAAGATATAAATTATTTCTACCATGGTCAAAGGATCTATTTTACTAGAAATAAAAATTTGTTTTTTAAATAAAAATCTGTGTTTAATTATTGAATTTAAGCATGTAACCATTGTATCTGTGTATAAATTAGTTTTTTCTTTACATTAAATGCATTTTTTAAACAATATGGTCTTTTTAAATTTTTCTAGTTTTTTGTGATTCTTCCTCCCTGTGTAGCATTTAAAAAATAGAGACTAAAAATTTTAATTTGGGGGCAGTTAAAATTCTGTCAATTATTAGGCGCAAAGTCCATCGTAATTCTATAAGTTGTGTTGTTAAAATTGGGGTGTTATAATAAATTTTCAAAAAAATTTATGGGGCTTGGCATTATAAAATTGAAAAAGTTATATTTTTGAGATGTAAATGAAAATTGCAAAAAAAAATTAATTTTTTACTATAAGTATATATTCATAAAATTTATTGTTTAGTAATTCTTTACGAACGTTATATTTATAGAGACTATGCTGCTGTTTTCTAAAAGCAAAAAAGAATATTTCTATGCTGATATTTTAACTGTAAATTTCATAATATTATTCTTTAATAACACGACTTTAAATATTGCTATATTAAAAAATATATTAAATAATAAAGTACAATTTTTATTTTTTTTTCTAAACACCGTCTAAAATACTTTGTTTGAAAAATTTATTTTGTAATTTAATAAAAATTAATAAGAATAATTTTTTAAAATATAAGTGTAAGAATAGAACTTCTTAAATCTAAATTTTTCTTTTTTCTTAACTAAAAATCAAAATAGCTCTTTAATTCGTTTTATTATACGCAATATATTAGTGCATATGGAATATTTATAAACATCTCTATTCTTATAGATAAAACTCAAGGTTTTTTAAACAAAAAATATAGAAATAATTTTATTTACATTCAGGAGAAAAAAAATTATGAGTTTAACAAATAAAAAATCAGAAAATTTTTTTATTATTTTTTTCTATTTTAATTAATGTCTAAATTATAATTTGTAAAAAAAATTTTAAAGCTGTCGGGCATATGATTCATAAAAAATTTTAGAATAAAAATACAGAGTTTCTACGTTAAAAAATATTTACGAAAAGATTATTAAGAAAAAACAAAAATGATAAATTAAGTTTATAAATATGTTAATGCATCTTTACAAATGATACAGTAAAAATTGGTTTTTTTATAAATCTCAGACCCATTATGCGGTGTAGTTTTTAGTTATTATTAAAAAAGTATATAAATCTTAATAGATTTGCATAGAATAAAATTAAAGGTATTTGATGTGATGTTATTTGATGCTTGTCTTTGATTTTTTAAAAATCAAGTTAAAAGCTCAATTATAATAATATCAATTTATTGTGCTTAAAAATTAATTTAGTTGCAATTTTTAATTATTTTATAAATTTTATTTTATTGTTTTTTTTTCTGAATATAAGATTTTTGTGGATATAAGCACTCCAGCTTTGAGACAATTTATAATTGTATCATATGCCAGACCAATAAGCTACCCATATCACTGAGTGATTTATACAAAGAATCATAGGTATAATCAGCTTTTATCTTAAAATATAAATAGTGGTTTTTTGAGTAAAGAATGCTTTCTACAAATGCGGAACTAAATAATCCATTAACCTCAAACAGGGATGTTAATTATAAATTTTTTGTTTTTGTAGTTTATTTCTTATTAAAATTTATGTCAAATCTTCCTTTCTGCTAAAATGACAAAAAAAATTTATTCGTAAAAAAAAAGTAAACATAATTAGAGTTCATAGACTTCTATCTATAAACCAAAATAATAAATTATTTTTTTAAGTAATTATAATGTCATCATATATATTAAATAATACACTACACGTCTATAGGAAAAGTCCTTTATGTAAAATGTTTAATGCAAAATTTATAGCTAAAAAGTTTAAATTGTAAGTTGGATGATTTTGTTTGCTTTTATAAAGCATATAAACAGTAAAACAAATCTATTTTCTAATTTTATATGTTATTAATATGCTAGCTTAATTTTTGTCTTTTATTATGCCTGTTAATCAAAAATAAAATCAGTAAAAAATTTTATTAAAGCCAGTTTTTTAACTTTCAATTATCTTTAAAATATTTCTAATTTTTCTTCATGTTAAGTAAGCTTCACATTGTATTTTTTTTTGAGCATATTAAATTTACTGAATCATAAAAATTAAAAACTTAATTATTAAAAAGCGTATTGGTAAATAGAAAGTCTTATACACATTTTTTAATAATTTTTTATAGTATTACTTATATTCATTGTTATATTGTTGTTTAACATTATAGCAATTAAAAGCGACTAATAATTTGGTGTTTATACAAAGTATAATATTTATAAAAAATACCTTTTGATTAATGGAATGACACATTCAATTAATTGTTATTATATATAATCTACAATTTATATACCTATATGTAGATTATCAGGGCAGTTAGTATAACCGTCTGTTGATGGTTGGAAAAATGATATTAATTTCGATTCCAACAAACAACGTGTTAAAAATGATACGCTCTTCTACGATTGTAATTTACAAATACAAGGCTGGTTTCCGCATGAATTTGCTAATTTAGACTCCAATGGGTCTATGTTTACTACCTCTTTGGGGCAACCCGCCCTACCAGCCTGTTTTTTCTCATTTTGGGTAAAATTACATATGTACTTAACTAGAGGAATAAAACATTACAAAAAACAAAATATTATTAAAAAAAGATATAAATTTCTAAAATTTTTACTTTCTTATTTTGTTATTGATACACATTCGCTATACGATGTTATTATCTTAAATCACTTTAATACAAACTTTAAAATATACTTAACGATAAACAGTGTTGAATATACTTTAAATAATCTTGTTATTATTTTCAATGCAAATTTTGAAATACAATTTTTTATCTTTTAATTATAGCTTTTTATGTTTGTAAAGCATTACTAATGATTCAGTTCTAATTTTTAAAAT